AAGGCTGTAGCCACTCCTTTGGCTCAGAAGCATGGTTTGCATGAAGCTGTGGGAAGTTTTGTAGATGCCTCCTTGTACATAATGATAGTAGGGAGCCTTCAATATTTGACCCTCACAAGGCCTGATATCACTCATGCTGTGAATTTAGCAAGCCAGTTTATGCAAAGCCCAAACACTGAACATCTTCAAGGGGTAAAAAGGATTCTCAGGTACATCAAAGGTACTCTACACTTTGGACTCAGAATTATTTCATAGTCTCCATGTAGGTTGTATGGCTACTCAGATGCTGATTGGGGTGGTTGTACCACCACTAGAAGATCAACTACAGGGTATAGCATCTACCTAGGTGCAAATTGTATCTCTTGGACCTCCAAGAAATAGACTACAGTAGCCCGATCAAGTGTTGAAGCTGAGTATAGAGTACTAGCCTCCACTGCTGCAGAAATGACTTGGATTTTGTATCTTCTTCATGACTTTGGAGTGTTCCTTCGATCTGTTCCTACGATGTACTGTGATAACATGAGTGCCTTGTATATGACGATTAATCCAGTTATGCATGCTCGAACCAAACATGTTGAAATGGACTATCATTTTGTTCGTGAGAAAGTGGCCAGGGGACAACTTCTTACTCAGTTTGTGAAGTCTAAGGATCAGCTAGCTGATATTCATACCAAAGGCTTAACAAAACAGGTTTTCTCTGGTTTTCACAGCAAGCTAGGAGTTACAGTTCCTCTACTCACTATCTTGTGGGGAAGTATTGAAGGAAGCTTGAAGACTGATGGAACATGTCGAAGGAACAGGTCCATCGAAGCAGGCCGACGAGTTAGAGTTAGAGTCATACTAGGACTAGACTACTAAATCCTAAGTTATGTACAACTAAGCTTCTGTATATTGCAGGAGTCGACTAGGATAAGGTATTTGAGTTATAATACAATACTACTCATGTAAATAATTGTGTTGTAGTAAGTTTCCAAGTATAACTAGAATATGACTCTTCTCCTATATAAGGAGCTTGTAACTCAATATTATCATCATCAATATAATCCTTGATTTCTCTAATCCTAGACATGAGATTTCTACACTGACCTCTATGTTTTCTCACAATTTTTTGAAATCTTTGAGTGAGATAGGCCATGTTCTCATCTATTTCAGGGATTTCACTTTGTGAAACCTTGAGAGCAAGTGATTTAACCCTTTTTGCATCTTTCTCCCAGCCAGCCTCATTATATTGTTGTCGGGGTTGGGAAACAATTTATTCATCCGAACTCCATTAAATCGAACAATTTACATTGATTGTAGGGATGTGAGAATCATCAAGAACAATATTTGAAGACCCAATGTAGAACATGCCATTAAATCGAGGTGGCTTGATTGATAATTGACTCTCTTCCAAAGTTAGTGGAGCAACCATCTTTTCTACGGGATTCTCTCTTGGTGTTAACCATATAGAGAGCCCAAGCTCGAATACCAATTGATAGAATAGATGCGTCCACTAGTAATCACTGGACAGGTCCCTCGACAGAATAATAGTGCAGAAAATAAATAGTTCAAAATAAATTAGACACAAGATATTTTTACGTGGAAACTCCCTTGCTCAAGGAAGGGGAAAATCATGACCTATACTCATAGAATTTCCAACCGAACTCCATGTCACTCAAAGCAGAGCAAAGCTTTACATTACAAACTCTAGTTTGTAACATAGGAATTAAAAACTCTTTAATCCATTCCCCCTTGTTGTAACAACTTTACTACAAGCAAAAGAACTAAGCAATAACTCTATTGCCCACTAAACCAACTAACTCTAGTGGATCTAGACTTCAAGAACCCAACAAGGCTAACTCTAGCCACCAACCCTAAGCCCCCCTACCTCGACCCCCAGAGGCTCGAGGCATCGTGCCCTGAGCACCCCCCACCCCGAACCCCAGAGGCTCGAGGCGTCTGCCCTGAGCCTCC